GGGCGCCCGGCTCGGGTGAGGCAGAGGCCTCCGCACTCCCGCTCCGCAGTGCTGGGGTCTGGACGCCTCCCAGCCCAGGCCCAGGGCACAGAAGGCTTCGGGCCAAGGACTGGGGAAGGAAAGGTCCTGGGGAGCAGGGAGCAGCAGCGGAGAGGAGGGGCAGGCAGCAGGAGGGAGGCACAGTCTGCCAGGGATGGGGCGGCGGTTGGTGGGGCCGGCCTACCTCGCACAGACATCCTCTTGGGGAGGATGGTGACGGCGCCCTCGGCCACCTCCTCCAGGTGCAGCACAGGTGAGATCTTGGAGCCCCAGCTGTCAGAGCCCATCCAGAAGAAGTGGCCCGTCTGGTTGGCCCTGCGTGCCGCCTCCAGCACACGCCTGGGGACACACAGCAGCCCAGCCCAACCGTGTCTGGCCACTCAGGCCACACCTGTTTGCCTACCCATACTTGCTGCGCCCCTCACAGCCCTCGCTGGGCCCCAGCCTGACCCACCGAGCCCAGGGCCCACAGCTGCCCACCTCCGTGTCCCTAGCCCAGCCCCGGGTCCCCCTTCCTCTAGCCCACGCCGGCACACACAGCCGCTGCCGTGCCCCAGGCCTGTGCCCTGCCCTCTCTGCCTGCAAGCGCACAGTGCTCCCAGGCTCCATCTGTCCCTGCAGAGCCACACCTGTCTCCCCAGACCACACCTGCCCACGTCTGACCCAGGTCCCAGAATCCACCTGCCCCGCCTGGGCCCTCCCAGACACAGCCCGGTCTCACTCACACATGCACCCCTGCCTCTGGCCCTCACCCCTGGCACGGAGGCCAGAGGGGCCCTCTCCATGCGCCTCCTATGGCAAAAGCCCAGGCCTTCCGGAGCTGCTCCCCGCCCTGCTGGGTGGATAAGGTGTGGGGTCAGCAGCTGTCAGCACGCCCAGGCCTGGGTGACAGCAAGCTCAAGCAAACCCGCGACCGAGCCCAGCGCAGGCCCAAGGGCGTGCTCCATGATTGAGTGGGCCTCAACGATTCTGTCCCCCGAGGATTCTGTCCCCCCAGAAGGGCCTGGAGCACAGGAGGTTGGGATGCCAGGCACTGTCCCTGTCTTTGGTGGGGGCCCAGGGCTCGGGTGGCACTGGGCCCTGGGGCTCCCAGAGAGGGATGAGCATCCCCGAGCCACCTCCCACCTCCATCTTCTGACCCCAGGACTTCCCAGCCCCTCCCTGGCCACCTTGGCCACTGCTAATGGCAGGGGGCTGCTCAGAGCCTGCCCACAGCCCTGTTTATACCCGGCTACTTCCACCCCTCCCTGAAAGTCCCAGCCCAGCATCCTGCAAAGTCACCTGCATTTATTTTTACTGTTTGCTTCTGAAAATGCACATGGATTTCCAGAAATGAATGCCTCCCTCCACAGCGCCTGCCCACAGCCAGCTCGGGGCAGATCCGCGTTCCATCCTCTCCAGCCTCTGTTCTCCCTCCCAGTTTGGGGGTCCACCTTGGCTGACGGTGACCCCAAAAGGAGCAGGCCTGGTGGGGGTGCAGAGGTGGGCAGGAAGCAGGAGGCAGGTGGCTCAGAGCCAGAGTTTAGGGTACCTGCGGGTCTCGAGGGGGTGGGAGACTCTCACCAAAGCTTGGCAGTGTCAGAATGGAGGTGCCCTGCCTCACACACCCCAGCAGTCGGCCCTTTACCCATGCGGTGTCAGGGGCGGGGCCCTGCCTCACACACCCCAGCAGTCGGCCCTTTAGGCTTCTGAGGCCCCAGTGACCTTGCAGCCTCCCACCTGTGACCCCTGCCTGGGTGGACGTGCAGAAAGGGCTGGCCCAGGGGTCCCACCGGGCACATCCTAGTGGCCAGCACCCGCAGCTCCCAGTCTGAAGACGCAGAGACTGGCCCCAGCCACACCTCCTCCCTGTACCCTGAGCTCCCCGCAGAGAAGGGGAGGGGCTGTGTGGTGCCCAGCACTTACTGGGCACCTACTTCCTGCCAGTTCTGCTACTCAGCTTCAAAGGCTATTAGGCACCACTTTATTAGGTATTTAATAAATAGCAACAAAGAGGCCCCGAGAGAGGGAGGAGCTCGCCAAGTGCGCACAGTTGTGGGTGGGATGAGAACCCTGGCCCGGCCCAGGCCCCCAGCCTCAGCACTTGCTGCTGGCCTCACTTGTGCCCCCCGCCCCTCCACACGCCTCACCTGATATCGTCCTCGTTGGCGAAGATGATGACGGCCCTGGCGTTCGAGGTCTCGAGGAGCCGCCGGATGATCTTGTCGAACTCGCCAGTCTTGGGCTCCCGAGGGATCTTCACCGACTGTGCGATGCACACACCCCCTGCGGGAGAGGCCCGTCAGCTGGCAGCAGGGAGCCCCCGTCCCAGCCTGGCCCAGCCCCAGGCTCAGGCTGGGACAGGCTGTGCAGTCAGGACGGCCACAGCTCGATATCAGCCCTGCTGTCCAGCTGGTGACCCCGGGGATGTCGCTGAAGTGCTCTATGTATGTACAGCATCATGAGTCCCCGGGGTCGAATCTGCCCTGAGCCCCCAGGGCTCCATATACACCAGGTAAAGTGGAGGTAGCCAGGTGGCCATCTCAGGCCTTCAGGTTGTTACAGAACAGGAGAGATAATGTGCAAAAACCCAGGAAGCCCTCAGGCTGGAGAGTTGGCTGTTGCCTTGTGACCACCGGCGACGGCTTCTGGAGAGTAAATCTGAGTTGAAGCCACGATACCCACACAGCTCCTGTCGGAGGCCCCCGCCCACCAGGCCCCCAGGCCCTAGGCAAGGTGGCTGGCGCAGCGACTCACAGCAGCCTCCGGGACTCCGGCCAAGCTGTGTGGCTGGAGGGCCTGAGGTGCTGTGCACCCAGACAGCTCTCTGGAGCTGGCAGAGGCTGGGTGTCGTTACGTATTTAAGGCCCCTCCAGGCCCCTGGCACAGAGGCAGCTGAAGACTGACCGTGTCTGACAGGTGAGGAACAGGTGCCAGGGAGGGGGCCTGCCCAGAGCCACACAGCACCCTGCCTGCCGCAGCCCAGGGGCTGGGAGCAGAGGATGCCAAAGCAGAGCTCAGCCAAAGGAAGAGCAGTGGGGGAACCAGGAGGAAGGCAGGTCCCTGAGCCTCTGGGCCCCTCAGACAGAGCCCTCCAGGCCCAGCCAGCGCCTCAGAACCCACCATGGCTGCCTGGGCACCCAGGCCTCACCTGAGCCTCTGCCCAGGCTCAGTGCCCCAGGCCACCAGGCGCAGGCCGTGGGAGGCTATGCACAGGCAGCAACACCAAGCTGGAGCAGGCAGATGCCAGAGCTCTGGGACACCAAGCCTGCTCGGCGGGGTGACTGCTCCACGCCAGGCGCCCGAGGGGCCACGGCACACGTGTGCACGCACAGCTACACAGGCCTCTCTGGTCACCCAGCTCCAGAGGGGCACTGGGCGGGGAGAAGCAGCAGGGGCCCCCGAGCGGAACCACAGCCCCTCCCGGCCCGGAAAGCACAGCCACTGTCCGGCCAGGTGCTAATGGCGGCGGCAGGTGCCCAGCTCCCCGCTAGCCCCTCCAGATGGTTTCTTTCCAATTAGAAAGTGGGCCAATTGCAACATTTCTCCCCCCCGTCTGGGGAGACAGAGGGACCGGAGGAAGAGGCTGGACTGCACCTGGGCCGGGAGGGAGAAGCGGACATGGGGGGCTGTGAATCACCCTCACACGTGGAGAGACCACTATGCTAAGTTGGAGATCTGGGCCACTCCTCCCCAGACCCCCAGGACGCCTTCTGCCTGCTTTTTTTTTTGTTCTGGGGATTGAACTCAGGACCTTGCCCTTGCAAGGCAGGCGAGGTGCCCCTGAGCTGACTCCCCAGCCCTTGCCTGCTTTTTTAAGGTGCGCCGTTCCTGCCAATAGAAGGGGTGTCTGGAGGGGATCCGGGCGACACCGATGAACACCAGAGGGGCGGCAGGTGCTCAGGTGACGTGGCCTCGCTCCGCTGCTGCCCGACCGGCACCACACAGCCAATTTGTGGGGAGGAAGTGGCACCCGAGCTAAGTGGCTTCTCCAAGGCTGCAGTGGCACAGGGAGAAGGGCTGGGGGAGGGGCGGGCACACCTTGTGCAGCTGCCACAGGAGGAGGCGCCGTCCACAGGTCCCCGGCCCCCAGAGCTCCAGCGGGGACACAACTCGAGTGACAGTGGCCCTGGGGACAGCAATGCCAGAGCCCTTGCACAGCTGGCACCACGCCAGGCCTGGTCCCAAAGGGCCCTCACGCCCCTGGAGCAGGCGCTCGTGACCCCATCAGACAGACTGGGGACTGAGGCCCAGAAGTGCCACACAGCCTGATGAGGTCCAGTGTCCCCAGACAGAAAGGTCCCTCGCCTGCAGCCCCCAAGTCCCCACCTTGTCACTCTTCAGCTGTGAGGCATAGCATGCACGGAGAGCGGGAAGGCGATGCCTCCCATGACCACACAGGGCAGGGACGCGAGTCTGGCTCAGGTGACAGCAGACTGCAGTCACACAGCAGCCCTCAGTGCTCCACGGTCCAGGGGGCCACAAGAGTCTGGGGTTCCCCTGGGGCCCCTTAGCCTCCTACCAGGACCCAGCAGCCATGCGCCACCTGCAAGCCCCACCATCCAGCCAGGCCAGGGACAGGGAGCCCATCTGAGCAGGCTGAGCTGTGGGGGCCGGGAGACCCACGTTCGAGCTGCACAGAGCAGATGGCCAGAGGGGGGCAGGCCTGGCCCAGGGCACGTGGCACCTGGCACAGGCCCACCCCCTAAGGCTCAAGCCCCGGCCCCACGGTTCCAGAAGCACTGCCCTCCCTCTGGCCCAGCCTCCACCCCGGCCACCCTGCAGTGTCCCCAGGCCTGCCCTCCCTCCGTCTCCCCTTCTCCTACACTGTCCCATCCATTTAAACTGTCCGTCCTCGGCCCCGTCCCGCCCTGGACATTGAGGTGCATCGGGGCGCATCCGTCGGAGCATGCGGGGCTGGTGGCCACGACCAGGAGCGCCAGGTGCTGGTGACCCCCAAGCTGGTGCCGCCTCCCCACCCACACTCCTTCCCAGGGGCCCGAAAGACGGCAGGGACGCACACAAAGGTGCTCACCATGGTGCTCTGTGCAGCTGCCAATGACAGAAGCAATGTAAATAAAATATTCTACAGCAGGAGGAGGGGGAACTGTGAAGTGTCCGTCCTGGGGACATTATGTAGCTAAGATTAACAAAACTGCCCTCGATGGCCAGGTGTGGTGGCGCCCACCTGTCATCCCAGCACTCGGGAGGCCGAGGCAGGAGGATCCCTGTGAGTTCGAGACCAGCCTGGGCTACATAGTGAGTTCCAGGTCAGTCTCAACTACGGAACCGAGGCAGGGATCCCTGTGAGTTCGAGACCAGCCTGGGCTACATAGTGAGTTCCAGGTCAGTCTCAACTACGGAGTGAGACCCTCTCTCAAAACCAAAAAAAACAACTGCCCTCGTATGCCAGCGTGACAAGCACCGAAAACATAAAATGGGCTGAAAACAGTGAGCTGCAGCACGGTCTGCCCCATCCCTGCACGTGGGAGACTTGGTTCTGGACACGCATCCACATATGCAGCGTGAGCGAAACCTGTGAGAGGGCACCAGATCTCCGTCACACTCCATGTTTTCCCTGAGGCCTAGGACACAGCTTGGCACGTATTAGGTTTGCAAGAAGTTTGCTGAGGGCCTAAACGCGGACAGGAAGGGAACCTGCCCATCAGAATCACGGTCACCTCAAGAAGGGGAGGGGACAGGGCTGAGGAGGGCCGCACACTGCAGCCTGCCCTCAGCCACATTCAGTTCAGAGACACGGAGGACGACCTGGAAACACTTGGTAACCTGGGGGCCAGACCCAGACTGAGCGAGCCTCCTCTTTTCGGCCCTGGGGCTCGAACCCAGGGCCTGGAGCACTGCTCCCCCCGAGCTGCACCCTGGCCCCACATGGAAGGGCTCCCTCGGGCCTTGGGTCAAAGGCAGCAGCGACTTACAGCCAGCAGCTTTTCCAGCCCAGAGGCCGCTTGTGGGCCAGCACCTGCCTTCCGCCCCTGCCCCTGACAGCTGTCCCAGATCCACAGGGCTTCACCTGCCAGGCGTGGGACCCACTGTTGCCTGCGTCTCTCACCGCTACGCCTGGGGACAGCCAGAGGTCCCCTGAGCTCAAAGCCACGGCTCCAGCCGGCCGCCCTCCGCGCCTCCTTGGTTCTTTCTCCCACCCACCCGCCAGGCTCAGAGACCCTGCAAGGAGCTGAGCCCCCTGGAGGCCGGTTCCCACAGGGAGCGGGGGCTCCCGCCCAGCCCCTGGATCGCGCACCGGGGTGGGGTCGCTGACACCCCCAGGCTGCTCCCCTGCCCAGCGGCG